CTCTTTCCAGATTTACTCTGGCATATAGGAGATAGTCAGAATAATATTTAATAAGCTTGACTATAGTCTTTTTAATCTGAGTTGATCAGATAACTACCAGTTTAATATAGAAGGCATATTTTTTTGAAATCCCATCCTTTGTATGTAACTGCAGATATATGATCTACTGAAGTACAGGAGCAGAGAGAGGGGAAAAGAAGGAAAAGATGGCATTTGAATGAAGTATAAGCACTGCTTATTATTATCTAAATATTCTATATTACCTGATGCATGGGTAATACAGAATAATACCTAATGTATTTTTGACCAAAGATTTACCACAATCTGCATAGAGATATTTATCTGTTGAATGGTCTGAAAGCCTATATTTATAATTTTGGATTTATCAGTAATAATGCCTCCTTTTATAGTTAGGATTTCCTAAACTGGTGCATGAAGTTAAGTGTTTCCATATACATCTTGGGTTTAATTATCTGTGTGTTCAGACTTCCCCTCTGAGAGTAATTTATATACTTAAGCATTAAATGATTTTTTTTCACTTCTTTTGTTAGTATCTCATAGGATTTTCTCAGTTTCAGTCTTGGCTCTGCCATCTATTCCTAGTTTAGACTTGAGCAGAACAGTAAATCTAGAAAGTGTTCAAACATGGATCCTTCAGAATGGAAGACAGTAAGCAATTTGACAAAATATTAGAGAAATAGCTAGCCTAAGAGGTCAGCCTAGCCTCTCATATAATGTTAGCAGAAAAGTGAATGAACCTTGTTTCAGCTGGACAACGAGAAATGGGGGAGGTCTGCATTGGCCACACCCCACAAGTAATTTCTATGAAACCTCATTTACATCTCCACAACACTTCATTAGTTTCGTTGAAACTATATGCTTACCTGTGTATTTATATCAATATTACTGATAATTATTACCAATAGTAATAAAGGCTGATTTAGGAGGCTTGCCAAGTATAGATTCAGACTACTGATTAAATTCAGCTATACTGTTTCTATGGAAGGTACACTGCACATAATTCAGCATTATAGAATTGAACTGTTTTCATAGTTTGTTTGGTAGTGGAAAATCTTAAATGCTTTCAGAACTGCTAATGCAAACGGCAAGATGATTTAAGTGCAAAAGGAGTGAGGAGAGAAGTATGAGTTTTGCCTGCCACTTGAATAAAAAGTGCAGGATTCATTTCTTCACTCAGAGATCTTGGTGATATCCTAGGCCCACTGAAATCAACAGCAATAGGGATACTTGTATGCCAGAGTTACTCATGCCCATAAGAGTTTGAGTCCCTGACCCCTTAATTTGGATTTATCAGTTCTTTTTGCCACAGTTTATAAGTCCTAAACACTTCTCCCTTCAGCCTGTGTTTATCTGTCTGGTTTGTATCTCTACTATTACAAGCATCAGTAAAAATTAAAAGTTTAACAGTAAAGCAATTTTTTTCCTTCCTGGGGAACAGAAATCTCTGTAAATAGTGAACTGCTTCTAGATACTTGGGGTCAGCTGCTTGTGACTCTCTATTAACACAAAGCACATTTAAGTTTAAACTAGTGGTTGAGGCTGGTTTGTTTGACGTTGTACCACTGGAAGTGGTGTTTAATCTGGCCCGGTGTCTACAGAAGCGAGATGCAATTTGAATATCTCTGCTGTGCTCTGCTGCAGCTTTAAGCTGCAATGGTTTCACATTTGTTCAACCTGATTGTTCAACATATTAACCTTCTTCTAACTACTGCTGGGACTTCACCCTGGTGACATGCTTCTTAGAGTTATGATCTCTTTATTCCAGTTCTCTTAATCATTTTTTTCTTCTGCCTCATGATTGCACAAATTGCCAGAGTGACAGGTTCTGAGACTTTTTATTCACAGAGTAGATGTATTATGACAGTTGTAGTTTCAGGTACCATGTAGTGTTCTGCCAGTGTGACTTAACCCTGATGTCAAAATGCTTATCTTTTGGGATGATGAAACACTACAACTGGTTGTCTGTTCCTGTTCAGTCTATTGCGTCTAATAAACTGGACAATTATATTCCCTCTGATCATTGTTGATGAAAACTTTGTGGTTTTTGTGCAGGAAGTTTGATTTGGGTTAAATTGAATGGAATGGACTTTTGCAAAACAAGAGGCCTCAAGTTTTTGTTACCTGTGTTCTGACATACAAAATGGCTGGGGGGTGGAAAGGGGAGGAATCTAGGTTCTGCTGCCAAGATAATCCATACCTCATAGTTATTAGTCTTACTTTATACAATACCCTGTTACTGTTATAGTATGAGCCAGTTTGCCAGTGTGGCAAACTAACTGTGGAGTGAGAGGGCCGAAAGCCGTTTTGAATTTTCATACATGAACAGGGGTGAAATAATACCCCAAACAGCCCAAAGATGCAGGTGGAATGAGACTTTTGATTGTGACTCTGTAGTTACCAGATTATTTTTTTTTCCCAAAGCCTTGTTTTTACCTATATCAGCCACTGGGGAAATAATTCCCTTTTAGATCAGCAGGATTTTTGCTGTGGTTCTTAATTCTTGCCCAATCTCTTCCTTGTTCTTTTGTTTCTTCCAAATCAGTTTCTTTTGTCTCTTCTTTAGATTTCATTTTTCTTTCCTGTAAACATTCCTGACTCGGCCTCAAGAGTATTCTTTGTGCTTCTGCATATTTCTGCATCACACAGACGATGACCAGCAGCCAACTGTTTAATGCAGACAGCAAACTGTCCCTAGAGAGTCTGTCATCTGTGTGTCTCTTCAGTTTGACTGCAGACTCATGAGGACCATCATTTAACTGCCCACGTTGCAGGAGTGAGGAGATTATTTTCAAGTGGGAGAAATACCATGGTTGGCTACTTTTTAGAAGTTAAAACTTACACTTCAGTATTTGCATGTGCCATATGTAGACTAGAATAGCACTGCGAGTGCACTACTTCACAGCCATGCCCAAAGCTTTTGAGGCTGTTCTTCATGACACTCCTACTATAGCTGATTTTGGCCTCATAACTTTCACTTTAAGAAAGACAGAACACTTCAAGGAAAAGCAGGGGTTACAGTCACAGATGTAAGATTGTTCAGAGTGTAGTAAATCCAGTGTTTAGTATTTGAAATTTTCACTGACACTAATGGGAATATTGGACATGCATAATATTCAAGACTGATTCCTTTAGTTGGGACTATTTTTCTTGGAAAGAATAAGAGTTTGATGGGACTCTGTACAATTCCTTTTCAAACTTTTTCCTCATGAGAACATGGAGAAGGTCAAAGAAATTGTCAAGTAGTTATGCTGGAACAAGAAAGGGGAAATATTGTTTCACAGCGGATATAACTAACTACTGAAGCACTCACTTTAGGAAGTCATCAAACTGCATTTTTTTCATAATACAGCTGTGTAATATCATGACTACGAAAAGCCAACTACAGAAATGTGGTGCTGTTCCTAAAGGAGTGAATTTGCACCATTTGAAATTCTATAGAGTCCTGGCTAAAGTCTATGATTTGTTTTGGTTTTGTTTTGGTTTGTTTTTTTAAAAAAAAAAAATCTTGCTTTTCATTCTTTGGGGTAGAAGTTACAAGCTGTTTGCATTGCAATTAGTCTTTTGATTGTTCTTTCTCTGAAAGGTGGAAATTTTAATGTCTTTAAATTCCATTTCTACATTTTAATGAGAACACCGTATAATTAAATTGTCTTTACCAGTTTTAGATGAAATGGTGGCTATGAAGTTTTCCACTTACTGCAGTTATGTGATACTAGATCACAGAAATTTTCCTGAATTTCCTGAAGAAAAACTCTTACGGAATGTAAATGAGCTTCTCTCTTACCCTCACTTGCAGGGAAAGGCATTGCCATTCTGTACACCAAATAAAAAATGACCTCAGTGTAGATCTGTATGATTTCTGTTTAGTTTTGTTAAAAGCTGATACATTCTGTCTTAATTAACAGGTGTTTTAGGTCATCAAAGTAGTTATTTTTGTCAGTGTTTGCCTAACATTTTTAAAATATCCTCTGTATTATTTTCAGATGGGAAGAAACGTTTCATTGGCATCAGAATGCTGACAATAACACCTGCGTAAGTATCTTGGAGTTGTAATCTGAATGATCACACATACAAAATGTGGTCAGTAGTGGTTCAGTACTATATCATTCAGCTTTCATTACAGATCTCCAGAGGATCCAGAAGTGTGTGTTGGCGTCTATAAAGTCTACAATCATTTTAATGATATTAGTGAAATGTATGTTCTGAGATCTGGAAAATCACTTGTCAGTCATTCTCTGAATACTGCCCTATTGACAGCTGAGGGAAATTAGGAAGAGTCTGAACACTGGTTTTGGTTGTTCACAAGGATGTCAGGAGTTCTAAGTTACAATTGTGTTCTTCCCCAGCAGTAGGCACGTTTCCAATGGGCAGTAGACTACAAAATTAAACAAGACAATTTCCAGCTGGGGTTGCAGTAAAGCCATCTTTGTTCATTGAGTTACACTCTTGCAGTCCTCCCAAAAGGGTGAGATCCTCAGCTGGAACAAATCAGTGTAATGGCATTAGCATCACCCGGCCACCACCAGTAGGGAGAAACTCAGAATGTTTATCTGCATAATTTTGGAGTGAACATGATGTGAGATTTTACTGCTTTTGTGACATCTAATGAAGCAGTGTAAGATGTCTCCAGGCCTTTTTTCAAGAAAAGACTACTTGCCTTGGTGTGTTTGCTTTAGTCATTTAATTGTTAACTTCCTCAGTACAAAATCAAATGAAGCGGAGCTGTGTGCAGCCATTTTGACTTGCTTTCCATCTGAAAGACCTCAGATTTTCTTGGCGGACAGCAGAGTAAACCGACATTAGTTTTAAACTCTTTCTTTCTAGAAATGGGTTTTAGCCCACACTGCGCACAGACCTGAATTGATGTCATCTCAGGAACAAGAGGATGTTTTTAGAGTTTCTATTTTGCAGCTGGTTCCTGTCTTCCTTCTTTAGAAAGGGATGCAGAAATAACTCCTCAAGAAAACTTGAGGAAGCTGAAGCTTCCTGGGAAAACTCTCACAGTTCCGATCTATCTGGTGACTGAAGTTATCAAAAGCTATGTTGTAGATAAAGACAAATTAAGACTGACTTGCAAAATAAGGGAAGCAAAATAATTAAAAACTTTGCCCCATCACCAGCATTAATTCTTTGGGGCAGGAATGTCTTTTGTCCCTGTACAGCATCTAGGACAGAGAGTGCTACTGTCACTGTGCTACAGTGTCCTCTGTGCTACAAATAGCAAAAGTCAGGTTCTCACAGGAGACATAGGAGACCATTAACTATAGCATGCTTAGCACAGGTAAGTAGTTTTAACTCTCTTAAAAGTCATGTTACTTGTTTTAATCTGAATTCAAATTCCTTATATTCTCATCAAAAGATCAAGGGACTATTAACAATGTTAAGTCATTCATTTTTGATCATAAAAAATATGAGAATAAATAAGAATTTTTGAATGCTACTGCTTTTGTAGGGGAATAAGAAACTATATAATTTTATTCTTCTTTTAGCTTGGTGGAAGAGCTGAAACACAGTAATGCTGATTTTCCTGATGTCAGAAGTGGAATTTATGTACATGAAGTTGTTCCAAACTCACCTTCTCATAGGTATGTAGAGCACATTATTTTATTTTATTTATTTTGCATGTACTTGCAAATGGATGGAGTGCAGTGAGTCAGTCATGGCTAGAAGTCTTTTCTGTCCTCCTTTGCTGCAGTTTTTTGGAAGAAAAAGAGAAATCTAGACTACTTGTTTTTGCTGTTCTAGAAGAAAATCCTCAATGAAATAATGCAAGCCTGATTTTGCATTTAGCACATACTACTGAGTATTCTTTTGCAGTCAGGGTGGAATTTCCATTCAATGGAAACTAAAGCAAGTAAACACTTATCAGATCAGCCAAAGAGGTAGTGAATAGTATTTGTACTTTTTCTCTGCATAAAATGCTTACTTACTGCCTTTTTCTTCTTGTCTTTGCAGAGGAGGGATCCAAGATGGAGATATTATTGTTAAAGTCAATGGGCGTCCTTTGATGACTTCCAGTGACCTGCAAGATGCTGTGATGAATGAATCACCTCTACTACTTGAAGTTCGAAGAGGAAACGATGACTTGCTATTTAACATTGAACCTGAAGTTGTAATGTAAATAGAATTGAGGAAGCTCTCACCATAATTAAACTCACTTATTCTGGAACACTAGATACCTCCTTTACAGCTACAGTAATTATACTTCCTGTTGACTAATGACAAGGTGGACTAACTTAATTGCCTGAGCCATTTCTGTACATAGTAGCTAGAATTAATTCAATTATGCCATTTATAGAAAATTTAACTTTCAAATAAATTTAAGAACTGTATTCTGGGGAAAGGGAGAAGGAAATCAAATTTTGGGTAGCTAGTAGAAATGGTGTCCACTTCCAGGACCTGCAGGCTCAGAGCAGATTCAGTTCTGCATTTTGAAAGACTGAAATACTATTGGAAGTGGGGAAGCATGTTGAAAGGGGAATTATTCTTAAACTACAGTCATGGTTGCAGCAGAACCAAGCTATTGCAATGCACAGTTGAGCTTTTTTTTGTTTGGTGTTACTTTTTTCAATGTGAACCTAGTATTGGCAAAGCTTGTATTTGTTCTTAGTGCTTGTGTGCTATGTGTCAATGCAGGTAGATCAAGTCTGTAAATATCGAAAGACACAAAAATGGTATCAGGCTATAGAGTGTTACACCTAGGTCATGCGATTTTGGAATATAGTAAATGATTCTTATAGAATTAATGCCTTATTATATATAAATCAAAACGATGTGCTGAACAAAGTTAAGTTTGAGAAAGTGCACAGTTTTTTAAGAATTTGATACAAATTAGTTTTGCATTTTACTGGTAAGCTTTGCTGTAAAATTGTTATACTACTTTTGGCTTGTACTGTGTATGTTTCTACTGTAAGGAGATTAAAGTTTACACAAATAATGTGTTGGTATAAACCTCTTTTTAAACAAGTATGTCTTCCCTCCTTCTTCTGTCAGACTGGAATAGACTCTCCTAAGAGAAAATTTTCTGACAGCAAATTGTGCCCTGATGTTATGAAAACCCTTTGTTAGCCCTATGGTATAATTATTCTGCCCTTAGATTACGTTTAGAAATGCTTTGCACACAAGTCATTTATTTACAGGCTTTTCAGTATTTATGAGTTGTGCTTTGATGTCATTTAGAGAGTATCTAATTCGGATCCTGTTGTCCTCAATTCTGCCTGTATGTGACAAGAAGCAGAAAGGAAGTACTATTAACCTTGTTTCATAACTACAGAGTGTGAGACATCTATGTAGTAAACCTGGGACAGAAACTGCTGAGAGCTAAATCCAGATACTCTAGGTATTCTAAACCCCACAACTGTCGTCTTTCTTGGCAAATATTGCTACCGTTCCCAGAGAGACAGAGGTGCATCTCTTATCTGGAGCATTTTCTACAGCAAGTTTCTTTATAGACTTGGTTCTTGTGTCTTTGTTTAACTCCTTTGGCATCAAAGTGTATCTTTGGGGCCGCTGGAAACTTCCTTTTGGGTTGCCATCATGTCTAGACCGTCCAGCTATACCAACTGACTTGTTTGGGACAAGCCTTGCACCTTTGGGTTTATACAACGCCAGGCATGCAATCTGTTCATGACTTCCTGGCTGGCTGTGACTGCAACTATACTGTTGAAAGATTTTATTCATTCCTAAAAATGAATACTGGGGTTTTTTCTATCACATTATTGCACATGTATTTAATAATGGCATGACACCCATGCTGTCACTAACAGAAGAGCACTTTTCACCCCTCCAATAAAAGCAACTTTGTTCGTTGCCAGTTTTTCAGATTTTTGACCAACAGTGTTTGGTAAGATCCACAGAGGGGTTAGCTTCTTTTATTGTAAGATAAGCTTTCTGGCTTCCAGATAACACAGTAATGACTTTGAAATAAATTGCATAACAACTCTTATTACAACAGCACTGAAGAGTTTGAAAGTGATGTAGCAATATTAAAATTGCAATAATGCAAGATTGTTGGCACTGGCCAACTGCCTTGACTTTGTAATCATGACACACTATGGATGGCAGAAAGGATGTTTCCTTACTCATCAAAAACTGCTGTGTTCTACCAATAGTTCCTTTTTTCTAAGTTCTCTTCAAAAATCTTGTGGAGCTTATACCTATTAACAGCCTACAAGTGCAGTTGCATTGTAGGAACTTTTACTCCGAGGGAATAAGGGTCAGATGAAGTTCCTTCAGAAAGAAAGCATTGTCACTTCCTTTGGCCGCAGAAGCATCTGTGTCATTTCAGCTGTGGTGTGACCCTTAACTGCTGAGACAGAAGAGCAGAGTTTATTAATTGCCACTCATTCCCCTGGGATCGGTCAAAGCTGCAAAGGTTAATTGCTCTCTATTAAGATAGAGTCAGCATCTATTGGTGCCAGCAGTTAATGTGAAGTCTATAACACAACCTTGCTATCTTTGTTTCTTGGCTAAGATGAAATAACATGGCAGTCGGTGTCTAAAACAAAACGTTCAGGCAACTGTTCTGTTATAAGCAGTTACTGGCTGTGTTTCTCAGACCAAAAAAAAGTAACTGACGTGTGATCTTGATCTGTCAAAGAAACTGGCAGCTGCAGCTTCTCCAAGTCAAGGTTGGCTCAAAAAAGATGAATTTTTTATATATTCTTTAGTCTGACCTCTCTTTATCGTCACAAAGATTTCTAAAGCCTCTTTGTTATTTCTGCAAGGCCTAATCAGCAAAATAAGGAGAAAGGGAGCTCAGCAATGACAATATAGAAGATGTGAAAATTTCAGGGTGCTTCTGTGCTACAGCCCAGCAAGGTCTGCCAGCAAGCTGTCCCTTCCAGAGGTCTGCAAGTGGGAGAAGCACAGCTCTACCAGCAAGTTGTCCCCTGCAGAGGAGATCCCTGTTGCCTGTCCTGCCCCACTGTGCCTGCTGTGGGGCTGGGCAAGTTACAGACAACTTTGCAAGTTCAGTGTGGAGTAGAAGACAGGAGAGATGACACCATTCATAACATAATACTGTTTGTACACAAATGGAGGCTGTTAGGAAGACAAGTTATGGGTGAAGCAGAAAACAAGAAAGGGAAACAGCATAGAATAACAAGAAAATATATTCTTAGGAGGGAAATTATAAAGAAAAGAAGATATGTCTGTTAATTTATATTATATAATTAGATAAGCATCGCACTGGGCCAGACTGCTGTCTGGCTGCCAGGTACTTGAAAACAGCTTTTAGCAGGGAAGACATCTTGTATTTATCTCTGTACCCTCAGAGCAGTTTGGGATCTGAGGGAAAGCACACCGAAAATACTAGTGACTCCCCCAGGAGGAACAGGTAACGGAGAAAGAGCCTTTAAACTGCAGTCAGTGTGGCACCCACCTTGTCACCTTCCCTGAGCACACATAGCATGTCCTATGGCTGATTAGTTGTGGCTATTTGCTCCCCCATTACACAAGTGCTCCATCACACTTGTACATCTGGAAAGTAAGGAAAACAAACAGAATTCCTTCCCTTACAGGAGATCCCATAGCTCTGTCAGGGAACTGGACATGGCACAAGAGGTGTGTAAAAGGCTGGCAAGGAAAGTTGGTCATTTGCGGGCTGTGGCTGCTGTGCTGCACAGAGCACTCTCATGGTCCAGTGTCGTACCTGTCATAGGTCCAGGAATTTTGGCTAGTGGGGATCTGAAAAGGCTTGAAAAGGCAGCAGAAATGTCACACAAAGTCAGTGCACAGCAGATCTTCTGCATAACCTGTTCTCTGCTTGCTGTTCTGTATGTTCTGCACGAGCTGCTCTGCACAACCACATGCCCACCAGCAGTCTCTCCTATCTGTACCTCTCTCATGATTGCCCGTACACCAGCAAGGCTGTGCAAACTCTTCCACATGGCTTCTCCCACAGAGGCCATTTCACACCTCTGCATTTTGCCCTCCAGAGCAGCTGCTCTGTTTGCTCTTCTCCACTGGTTTTGCACCAGCTATTCTGTACCACCATCTATCCCAGACAGCAGTCTCATACTCTTTTAATTTTGTTTTGACTGCTTGTTTCTTGCTTGAGGCTTTGTTGGTTTAGGAGAAATCCGGAAGAAAGAGGAATTTCTTTTTTTTTTTTCCCAGGCTCTGAAGTCTGGAGTGCTGTGCTGAGCATTTCAAGTCTACAGGGTAATACTAGGGCAGTGGGTTGTTGAGAAGTTTATTTAACCACAAGACACTGCAGGATATAGAAGGTGATGCTGCCTCTGTTTAGGCACCAGCAGTCAGGAACTGTGTTCAAAGACGTGCAAGGTTGAGAGCTTACCCCAGAGGGGATGTGTATGGACAGTATGGGTATGCTTTCTGTACCCACATGTAGGACTAAAGTCTGAAGATTGCTTTGAAGTAGGAAGAAGACTTAAAAAGAGAAGGGAAAGGGGGTGTAGCATGTTTATTTTATTTTATTCCCTTTATTTACTTAGGTTCCTGTAATTTTCATTTAACTGGATGTGCTTGAGGAAAGCATCCAGGTCTGGTTTTATTCTGAACCCTCTTCCCACAGTAGCAGATTATTTTTGGAATTTTGCTGCTCTGCAAAGAGTAGATTTGGTCTTTTAACCAAACCTTCTCAGTGCTTGTGTCAGTAGACACAGCTTGGCGATGCTTTGCTGTAGATCTTTCCAGGTCATGCCATGGTCTGTAAACTGAAGAACCTCCAGCACTAAAGCAGAGTTGCTTAGAAGACCTTGCTGGCTGGTCCAACTCTCTATCTTTTGACAAACATGAGAGGCACTGTTATATTGCACTTTTCTACTAACAAATGTACAACATAGTATTCACGAGCAGTGAACTAGCTTCAGGAACATTGAGCATGGACACAGGAATGGATCTTCAGGATGCAACAGTCACAAACAAACAGAAGGAAAAATATATTTATTTTTTCTCTTTTGATTTTTGTCCTCTGGGGAGAAAAGTCAGACAGAGCAAGTCTCCCCTCATCCTCCTTTTCTTTTTCCCTCCCTCTCTGTAGAAAGTCTCCCCCGGAGTCTGTGAGAATATGTCAATATTAAACAGCATTTTCTCTATAAAACTCTCTGGAGAATAACAGAAGCAACTGCTTGCTCTTTCTTTCTTCAACAAACACTGACGAGGCCTTCACAAACAGCCAACTGAGGCACAGTCAGGAAAAAACAAGTTCTTAGAGGAAGCAGTCGCCAAGGAAAACAATTGGGCAGCATGAAGAGTTTGGTGACGCAGCTGCACAGCTGCTGAGTTCAATGACTTCTCGATTGCCTCCATCTGAAGTTGTGTTTCACGATGAAGTGATCTTCTACCTCCGTAGCTATAAATAGCCAGGCATGAGGATTTGCTGCTTGAAATCCCAGAGGCAACTTGGGAAAAAAATCCCAAATCAAACCCTAACAACTAACCCAACACACAACAAGAAAACAGGAAGCCTTCAAATATCTTCTCAGTAAGAGCTTAAATGTCAAAGAGAGACAGTGAAGCTAGACAGTATAGGGCTAATGCTTTTGAAGATGACTTTCTAACATCATGGCTGGTCAAGGAGACGTGCAGCTCTACAGCAGTAGGGCCAACTCGTCTGGCGTCCTCCAGTGGAAGTCCACCTCGGGGTTGGTGTCACATAGACTGCTGGTCATTTCATCTGAACTGCGTGGCTGGATGGCCCTTATCATCAAGGGCAAGAAACAGTAGCTTTCTTCTTCTCAGGAAGTAGAGGTTCAAAACAGATCCAGAAAGTTGTTTCCTAAAAATATCTACTAGGAAGCCTCCTTCCTGTACAGAGAGCCTCAGATGACCAAAACTGATGTACATATCTCTGATCTACAAATCCCAAGTGAGGTGAGGTGACTTTCAACTCTACAATAGTAAAGCAGTTTCAGAATAAGGGTTTTCAGAATAAAGGTTTTGACTTTAGTTACTTGCTAAATTTCAATCCTAATTTTGAAT